TTTGCCACCTCCAAGGACATAGCTTGGATGATGATGAGAGTTGAAGACTCTTTTTGTTTATTTTGATGTATTACATGTAAATTCAAGCCAAGGGCTTAGTATGTATTGAGTTAGTACTCTTTCTTTGTAACCAAGTGTTAACTTGGAAAGTTGTAAGCCCATAGGGCATTTGCTTTTGTTGTTAACATGTAATACAGTTGTAAGGATTACTCTAATGAATAGAAATGGTTGATTTTTTTTATATCGATGCATGTCTAACGTGATGGGTTTTATGTATTATTTTGAGGGTGTTACAGTGTTGTTTTGATTAAAGATATATGTAGCGATTATAAAACGCCATAAAAAATTAACGAAAGTGGCGTTTAAAAAGGCGCCGTTAAAAAAATGCTGTTCAATCCCATTTTTCCTGTAGTGAACCTTGCCACATGCATCAAGTCTTTGTGCAAATCCAATCCAATCCAATCCAATCCATTAAATTGGAAGGCCATTGGCACACACTCCATCATAAGCCACCTTGTGTTGTGGTGGTTTAACCTTGCCACATGCACCAAGTCTCTGTGCAAACCCGATATTAAGGCCACTAGCACACACTCCATCGTATGCCACTTTATATTATGGTGGTTCAATCTTGTTACATGCACCAAGCCTCTATGCAAACCCAACATTACATGCATCTATTGAGCCAATATATATTGTTTGAAATTCATATCCACTTAAAAGTCTAAACTTGTAAGTAGAGAGTCATCTAATGTATATTAAGACTCACTCTTTTAACCTTTTATCTAGGAGCCTCTATTCTCATTCTACTTTGTTCCAAATGCATTCACTTCTTTGTCTTTATTATACATAGAATGGCGTGCATTTAGAATAAAGTGTAGTAGGAGTAGTAATGATGTGGACTCTATCTAATGTGTATTTAGAATAAAATTGAATAAAAATAGCGGCTCCCTTTATCTAATGTGGACTCTACTTTTATAAATATTCCAACAAGTGAGAGTTGCCTTACAAAAATAATAATAATATTTACATTCCACTGTTAACTCTTCGCACTTTAATTTTTGTCTTTTGGCGCATCAAAAATGGAGTGGGAAAATCCTTACCTATAAAAACATTCTATCCCAATTTTTTTACATAGATGTTTTTAATGAATTTTATTTCAAATTTGGTCCCCTTTTCTTACTTTTCATTTTTAGCTTCGTCTACACTAGAAGAACCTAAAACTAAAAAAAAAATTAAATATTTACAAATGTCACTTTTTTAGTATTTACCAAACAATAACTCAAGTACAATATTTTCTTTCTTTTTTGTTGGTTTATTTATTTATTTACTTTTTTCACCATAGCGTGGTTGGGTGTTCCAATTGGTGGAGAATTTTTACAGGGAGGCATGTTCGGATACTTTATTTCATGTCCAATTGATATTGCACACATGATAAGTGGAAATAAGTAATTAAATTTGTTCCAAAATTGTAACAAGTCATAAGTATTGATTAATATTCAAAGTATAATCACAAGTGTATATGTACAAGTATAAAAAACTAATCAAAAGACTTTTCTAACAAAATTTTGGGCTAGTGATTAAGAATGTTGAGGAGGGAAACTCTAATTTTGATCAAACGCCTGAACAAGTACTCTAGTTCTTCGAGATCTTCAATGCTCAGTTCCATCTTCGCCAATTGATTTTGCAAATTTGCATTGTTACTTGTGCTTTTCTTGTGACCGATGAGTGATTGCAATACACAATCAAATTTCTCAAAATCATTTGTAGTATTGTTTGTTTCTTCATTTAGCGATGCTACAATCTTGTGGCTTATCAATTTGGAAACCAAAGAAAAGCCACCTAGTCTTGATGCCAGTTCTTGTTTCTTATATATTGGTTAACTCTTATTTTGCTTGCATGGTTTTCGTCTATTTAAATTTTTTTCTAAAGAACCTTTGAGAAAGCATTAGAGCTTTTGTTGAGTAAAGATGTGAAACTATGTGGCCGAGCAAACCAAAGCTTGAGAAGGCCATTGAGGCAATATAGGCACGACAAATTTTATGGCCGAGCTTCAGTACAAGAAATTCAAAGTCTATGCATCCATTAATTCTTCCATTGATAAAGTTTGAACAGAGCACATACAGGTTATATCTAACCCACACATATATTGTCGGATGGTACCAAGTATAGTGTAATGGACAGGAAATAGTAGCCAATTTTGTAGTAATTCATGAATGTTCATAAAAGTAATATATATTTGTGGCCAACTTTGATTTTCATTGTGATGTGTGACATTTTAATTTGTTTCTGCTGAAAATATTGCAATCACTCGGAGCCGGAACAGAAAAAGTTGATAGTCATTATTATTGTGCACACTTATTTTAGTTTAGTACAACAGTGGCTTGTGCAGTTTTGAACTGATTGCAACAACGGTAGGGAAGTTGCAATTACATAGAGTCAAGCAAGAGTCCGGTTCCGAAAGGCGACTGGTTGTAGCAGTCAAGGTTGTCACCGGTGCTAACATCAAATATTTCATCACTACAGTACCTCTGATAGAACCCTATGCGATACTTAACCCTTGAATCCTGGCCATGACCACATTCAAGACCGCCATTTATGATGTTTGTGATGACGCCGTACCCAGGAACCCGCCCTGCCAATTGGTCAGCTGACGTTGGTGTCCAATTTCCAATGATGACATCGTGGCACGAAGGCTTCGGGTATTGTGGAGTCATCCAAAACCATAGAGCCGTCTGGAATGAGATGACTGGGTCAGTTTCTACTAGATCTGGGTTGTTCAAGAGGTCCAATCCCAAGGCCTCTCCTGCTTGTCCATAGTTGTAATTGCTGAAATTAATATATATGAAAACATAAAGTCAAAGTATTTCCCTGATTAATAATAAAAAGCAAAAGCAGAAGCAAGCACTTGACTTACTAGGAAAGTTGGATTGGGCCTCGGCCGTAATATTGCTTGCCGGGAGCACAGGGCCATTGAGTTTGAGATCCTTGATCGCAGTAGTCACTAGGCGGGTTTAATTCTTTAATAAAGCAGTATCCCCACAAGAAACGCCCACCTGGTGCAGCATCCCAGCCACCTAATAATATCATACACATACATTAACCAATCCATATTCATCACTCATTCAATCAATCGTGTGTGTGTGTGTGTGTGTATGGCCACGGGAAGGGAGTGAGGATGGACTAAATAACCAGTAGTTTGCTGGGAAGTTTGGCCGAAGAAAGCTGCAAGCTCCCTTTCACATGTATCGGTGTCGCCAGTGGTGGCAAAGGCAGGGAAGGACTCGGCCGCGGTTATGAAGGCGTCGTAGGTGTAGAAGTCCTCGCCATTGCAAGTACTGTAGTTTCGATTTGGAAACATTAGATCAAACATAGTGCTAGTAATGAGATTGGTGATATCGCCACCACTTGGCGGGGAAGGAGGAGGAGGAGGAGTGATGGAGCATTGGCTTTGGCAACCAAGACCACAATAGTCATATGTGGTGCCACACCAACCATATTCGCTGCAGCAAAGCCCTCCTGCGCACAGCGCACCCTCAGCTTGACTACCACATTGCTCGGCTGAGCCTATTGTAATTAGTAATGCGGCCAACAAACAGAGCATTGTCAAGGCCCAAGACCTCATTTTCATTTCTGTTTCTGATCTAAGTTTATGTTAAGGTAAGTGGTTGGGGTTGTCTGTTTATATCGGGTAGTCCTAGGAGGGTTTACAATAATGGTTAGATTATCACAATTTTTTATTATATTTTACTTTATCATCTAAACTCCTGATCTAATAATTCATGCATAATTTTAATAAAACATTAATATATGAAATAATAAAGAGTAATGATATGCTTTATAAATATATATATATCATAAAAAATTTTATGAAAAATTTTCATTCTTGAATTAATTTGTGATATTTTATTGTCTTATATGTATAATCTAAGAATAAATAATTTTTATAAATTTTTTTTATTTTTTACATTTTTATATTTAACCCATCTACTTGACTAAGTTTAACAAGAGCCTAAGGCAACGTCTTCATATGTGTACTTCTTAGAGATGCAACTTGGACGGGCTCCCAAGCAACCCGAGCCTAGCCCAAATTTTTTTAGGGTTTGGACAATATATTTTTAAATTCGATACGAGTTTAGGCAAAAATTTAAAAACTCGAATTAAATTTGGACAGGCTTGGGTAAAGACATCAAACAACCCGAATAATCCGAAACCCAAATTATACATATAAAGATATATATAAATATTAAATATACATATAAATTATTAGACATTACATGATATTAAAGTAATCTAGATTATTAAATCATATTGAATATATATTATATATACAAATAGCATAAAATCTTTTTTTTTATTATTTTCACTCATAAATTATAAAGAGTACTATAGCAAGATCTCTCTTACATTATATAAATTATTTGTTTTGATGGTATGAATGATTTTGTATATAAAAAAAATGTAAATAGAGTTAAAGTTTAATAATTTAATAATGTAGCTGGAAAAAAAAAATTGAAATTGATTTACAATTCGAGCAACTCGAGCAATTCGGGTTTAACTCGGGTCGGGCTTGGGCAGGCAACCTCAGGTTACAATTCAGGCTTAGATAGATCTCAGCACAATTTGGGCTGGACTTGGACAACCTCCCAACCCGACAAAACCCGCCCGAGTTGCACCCCTAGTCTAAATACACAACTATCGAAGTGAGTGTAACATTACTTTGTCAAAAAAAAAAAAAAATTATTTATTTATTTTTTGTTACAGGAAAATCCTTCCACTCGTTCGCAGGTTTAAGGCAGCGCCCCTTGCAGATATCACTAATCTGGAAACTTGCCATGACCTCACACGACAAGCTCCCTTTAAGTCAGAACTCGCACAACGGGAGAGCATTGAGCCCACACCAAGTGCAATGAAGTTGCTTAAGGCTAACCACCTAACAAACTGTGCTACGCCCAGAAGATTGACCCAAGGGAATTTTGAACTTGAGACCTTAGAGCTTAATCCCCAAGCCTTTGCCAAGTTCCCAACCACCCTTAGGTTACTTTGTCAAATTTTATTTTTGTTTGTAGTGGTTTTTTTCACATAGCATGCGATGCGCATGGAGACACAAGTGGCTTGTGGAAGTAAAATTATGAGGACTTCAAAATGTTGAGTAGTATTGCATTCAACAATTTTTGTCAAGCCCTTAAATCTCTGTAACTCTTTAAAGGCAGTGGCTTCCCTCCTGTCCCAAATTGGACTAGAGGGTACTGTTGGGCCCATGGGGGCTACCACGAGTTCCGGTTTGATAATCCAAACCGTTCAATGTGTAGAACTTGTCAAGTACTATATGCCTATAAAAAATCATGTTAATCGGATATTGATAGCTATCTCATTGGATCCGTTTTCTATCAATCATTTATTTATTCACCATTCATTTTTTTTAATACAAAATTGATTTGATCACATTGCTATTGATATCCGATCAATATGATTTTTTACAAGTATATAGTACTCGACGAGTTCTACACATTGACAGTTCAGATTATCAAAATTGGACTCATGGTGGGCCCCCACGGGCCCAACAACACCCTCTAGTCTAATCTAGGACTGGAGGAAAGCTAGGCCCCTTTTTAAAATATAGTAATTTTAATACAAGTTTTAATTAATGTAAATACTTTGAGATAGAAATACTCAACCTACATGGTTTTCTATAATAACAGTCTTTCGTACATTTTTCTTCATTCTTTTCTGATTTTTCTATTTTTTTTTCTTTTTAGAAGCTTTGTTTTTTTATGTTCAACGTATAGAACTCGTCGAGTACTATATGCCCATAAAAAATCATGTTAATCGGATATCGATAGCTATCTCATTGGATCCGTTTTCTATCAATCATTTATTTTTTCACCATTCATTTTTTTTAATACAAAATTGATTTGATCACATTGCTATTGATATCCAATCAATACAATTTTTTACAAGTGTATAGTACTTAACGAGTTCTATACATTGAACAGTTCAGATTATCAAAATTGGACTCATGGTGGGCCCCCACGGGCCCAACAACACCCTCTAGTCTAATCTAGGACTGGAGGGAAGCTAGGCCCCTTTTTAAAATATAGTAATTTTAATACAAGTTTTAATTAATGTAAATACTTTGAGATAGAAATACTCAACCTGCATGGTTTTCTATAATAAAAATCTTTTGTACATTTTTCTTCATTCTTTTCTGATTTTTCTAATTTTTTTTCTTTTTAGAAGCTTTGTTTTTTTATGTTTATCACTGTTTTCAGAATAGCCCGAATTATACATATATAGATATATAAAAATATTAAATATACATATAAATTATTAGACATTACATGATATTAAAGTAATCTAGATTATTAAATCATATTGAATATATATTATATATACAAATAGCATAAAATCTTTTTTTTTTTATTTTCACTCATAAATTATAAAGAGTACTATAGCAAGATCTCTCTTACATTATATAAATTATTTGTTTTGATGGTATTAATGATTTTGTATATAAAAAAAATGTAAATAGAGTTAAAGTTTAATAATTTAATAATGTAGCTGGAAAAAAAAAAATTGAAATTGATTTACAATTCGAGCAACTCGAGCAATTCGGGTTTAACTCGGGTCGGGCTTAGACAGGCAACCTCGGGTTATAATTCAGGCTTAGATAGGTCTCAGCACAATTTGGGCTGGACTTGGACAACCTCCCAACCCGACAAAACCCGCCCGAGTTGCACCCCTAGTCTAAATACACAACTATCGAAGTGAGTGTAACATTACTTTGTCAAAAAAAAAAAATTTATTTTTTATTTTTTTTTTGTTACAGGAAAATCCTTCCACTCGTTCGCAGGTTTAAAGCAGCGCCCCTTGCAGATATCACTAATCTGGAAACTTGCCCTGACCTTACACGACAAGCTCCCTTTAAGTCAGAACTCGCACAACGGGAGAGCATTGAGCCCACACCAAGTGCAATGAAGTTGCTTAAGGCTAACCTCCTAACAAACTGTGCTACACCCAGAAGATTGACCCAAGGGGATTTTGAACTTGAGACCTTAGAGCTTAATCCCCAAGCCTTTGCCAAGTTCCCAACCACCCTTAGGTTACTTTGTCAAATTTTATTTTTGTTTGTAGTGGTTTTTTTCACTTAGCACGCGATGCGCATGGAGACACAAGTGGCTTATGGAAGTAAAATTATGAGGACTTCAAAATGTTTAGTAGTATTGCATTCAACAATTTTTGTCAAGCCCTTAAATCTCTGTAACTCTTTAAAGGCAGTGGCTTCCCTCCGGTCCCAAATTGGACTAGAGGGTACTGTTGGGCCCATGGGGGCTACCACGAGTTCCGGTTTGATAATCCATACCGTTCAATGTGTAAAACTTGTCAAGTACTATATGCCTATAAAAAATCATGTTAATCGGATATTGATAGCTATCTCATTAGATCTGTTTTCTATCAATCATTTATTTTTTCACCATTCATTTTTTTTAATACAAAATTGATTTGATCACATTGCTATTGATATCCGATCAATATGATTTTTTACAAGTATATAGTAATCGACGAGTTCTACACATTGACAGTTCAGATTATCAAAATTGGACTCATGGTGGGCCCCCACGGGCCCAACAACACCCTCTAGTCTAATCTAGGACTGGAGGGAAGCTAGGCCCCTTTTTAAAATATAGTAATTTTAATACAAGTTTTAATTAATGTAAATACTTTGAGATAGAAATACTCAACCTATATGGTTTTCTATAATAACAGTCTTTCGTACATTTTTCTTCATTCTTTTCTAATTTTTCTATTTTTTTTTTCTTTTTAGAAGCTTTGTTTTTTTATGTTCAATGTATAGAACTCGTCGAGTACTATATGCCTATAAAAAATCATGTTAATCGGATATCGATAGCTATCTCATTGGATCCGTTTTCTATCAATCATTTATTTTTTCACCATTCATTTTTTTTAATACAAAATTGATTTGATCACATTGCTATTGATATCCGATCAATATGATTTCTTACAAGTGTATAGTACTTAACGAGTTCTATACATTGAACGGTTCAGATTATCAAAATTGGACTCATGGTGGGCCTCCACGGGCCCAACAACACCCTCTAGTCTAATCTAGGACTGGAGGGAAGCTAGGCCCCTTTTTAAAATATAGTAATTTTAATACAAGTTTTAATTAATGTAAATACTTTGAGATAGAAATACTCAACCTACATGGTTTTCTATAATAAAAGTCTTTCGTACATTTTTCTTCATTCTTTTCTGATTTTTCTAATTTTTTTTCTTTTTAGAAGCTTTGTTTTTTTATGTTTATCACTGTTTTCAGAATATGAACACACATGTATTTATATATATATATATATATATGTTGTATTATCTAACTTGTAGGTGTTGATTTTTGACCACACAACCAAAAGGGAAACTCAGCTGGAGAACACCAGCAGAATAGAATGAACTAACTACCTGCCAACAAGGAGATGAGAATTCTACGGTGATTCGTCCACCTGGGGGCACTCCAATGATTAAGTCAGTAAACTTTATCTCTCATAGATATCAAAATAGTACTTAAACTCCCAAGAAAAAAACTTACCATAGACCTATGATGGTGCCTTACTTTTGTAATCAACAATGACCTGATCACGTAGAAGACT